TGTTATTTAGTATTATGGAACTGTAAAAAGGTAGTTACTTAGCGTGATATATATCTGTAAAACGGTGAACTTCTTAGTCTTTGTTATTTAGTATTCTAGAAGTGTAAAAAGGTAGTTACTTAGCGTGATGTACATCGGATCATACTAAAACTGTAACATGGCGAACTTCTTAGTCTTTGTACTATACACTATTCTCTAACCTTTAACAACAACTTCTATCACCTACTTCGTAAAGAGTAATAACATTTGCATCCTCAATTGCGAAAAATTCCTATTCAAAATAAGTCGGAATAGGCAACAATAATACTTAATAATTTATCTTCACTCGTTATAAACGATACCACCTATTATTAATCTGATCTGAAAATAATCAAAACGGAACCGGTAGGCGAATTGTTTCTGTAAAACTGCTTACTCATTGTTTACAACCTCCAAGAAAATCTAAAGCTGTCCATTAGCAGTATTTTTGTCATATAGTAAACTGCATGGAATTATTTTGGTCGAACGAAGGTCATCAACTACGTCATTAAAATAGAATACTTTTATATGGGGCAGTTGCATAACTCATTATCTCATAGTTTACATAAGTAGAACTCGTAATAAAATAGGTCAATAGATACTGTTGTTTTTAAAGGAAAATATTTCGATGCAATGTCTACAGGTTTTCTAAAAGCATAGCTTGAATATCTACGGAGGATGTGAAGTACCACTATCTTGCACTGGTTAAGATATGGAAAAGTAGATCAAACAAGAAGTTTTATTTTCAGCACTTACTTTTTCAATATTGAGTTATTGCAAATATGCTAGGAATATACTTAATTCTTTAAAATATCAAGATTATTGAAGTTTGGATGTATGTAATTAAATACGACGCTACTGATTCTATAAGTAATATATAATTACTTTGAATTTCGAAGCATTAAAACACGGTTTACGACAATGAAATCCGTTATTGACTTTGCAAGTAAAACTTTACAAACGCCTTAAATCTGTCGTTCAAAATTAAAATAAACAGTTCATTAGAAATTCCAATACAACAATCTCTGCATTGCCTAAAATTACAATACATTATTAATATTACTTTTTAGGTTGTGTTAGTGATTTTGGGCTACGATTTTTATGGGTTTAGGTTTTGGTTATTTAACTGCAATTTTAATAAATTTGTTTATACGGCAATTAAACTAAGCTTTTTTTTTTATATATCACACCTTCGTTGAGCTAATCTTTTTTCCGTGGGGGGGGGGGGGGGTCTTCCTGTTGATACCACAAGTGCTAATAAATTTTTGTAACTTAACTTCTTTTTAAGGTATAAAGTCTTTCAGTATCTTTTAATTTTTTTAATTAACCTCTTTTTTTTTAACAGACATAAAATATTTAAGTATCTGGTTTGGTTGTATGCCACTTTTTGTATGCTTTAATTCACTAAATAAACGGTACTCCAAGTAACACTATCAGAACTATTACTTTTCCGCGTGCTACACGGGTCTTTATCTGCAAGTCATGGAGTTACAAGGATAAAATTATTTAATTGAAAATAATAACAACAAGAAAGAACACATTTTTCTACTATTCTATCCGTATAAATTTTTCAGTGTGTAAAAAATAAAATAAAAATAATAATTCGAAAAGAAAGCGTTCGAAGCGGAATTTGATCCCATCAGAGTATCTAACTTAAAAAGAAATAAAACTATTTAACCATTACACCAAACTAATTTGGTAATGTGAAAGGATAACGGGGTCACTATTTTGGATGTATCAGATTTATATACCCTTAGTGGTTACACGAGTAAAATAATAATTTTTAGTTTAAAACTTGTCACACGAGCCAGTACAACTCGTGGGTCCTGATCAGATGAGGGAAGAACTTGTTCAAATATAACCTAATCGATTTGACATGCCAGCCGAATCTGAGATTTCTCAATTGATTACTGCATTGACAGCGAAACATTAAAAAAATAGGCACAATAGTACCGTTACTTTCAAAAAGGGACATTGGAATCATATATAATAAATCATTTGTTTCAATATTAAGTTGAAACAGATGCATGATGATGCCTCTAGTGATTCTTAAATTTATAATGTCATTTCTGCAATGAAGAGTAAATATAAGAAGGATGGTATAATGCCCAATATGGTACCACCGTAGTATAAACTATACAGATTCCATTGTGTCATATTTTCATTAATATGTAGTTTTTTGTTTTTCCGTTTTAGAAATTGTGTCGAGCTTCGTTCATCGAGATTTATAGAAATAACCGTAATTCACCGGTTTCCCAAATGACACCCCACCCCCCACCCCCCTCCCTGTTGAGCATCCTGGGCCTGGGCTCAGTACTAAAAAATTTTTAGCTTAATCGCTACACATCAACCAACACATTCACAACCACATCTAGAACGTTTTCAAGCATGTTTCATTGCTACGTCGTTTTACTTTACATTATAAGTTAACTTCTCCATGTCACGGGTCTGGTCCATCGATCTAGACCACAAAAGTAGTGCCAAACGTCACTCTTTTTGTCTAATCAAAACAACTCAAACATTTCCGGAATGACTCATTGTTTTGGATCCACGCCGAGATGCCGGGCTGGCTTGTATTGTAGGTGTTTAAAAACTTAGTGTTGTAACTAGTTGCTTTCCTTATCTAGCCGTGTGTCACGTTTCATGTAAATCCTCCTTCAACCACTAGTAGTGTAACTAGTTGCTTTCCTTATGGTTGTGCAATTTTTAGCCATGTGTCACGTTTCATGTAAATCATCCTTCAACCACTAGTAGTGTAACTAATTGTTTTCGTTATAGTTGAACAATTTTTAGCCATGTGTCACGTTTCATGTAAATCATCCTTCAACCACTAGTAGTGTAACTAATTGTTTTCG